CCCCCCCCCCCCCCCCCCCCAGGTGGCGGCGGGGGGGGGGGGGGGGGCGCCCCCCCAGCCCTGCCTCTTCTGCCTGAGGCTGCCGCTCCATGGGCACCGAGCCCATCGCAGGGGCAAACCTCCAGCCCCCCACAGGAGCCTCCCCGGCTCTAGAGCATGGGTGGAGAGCGGGCAGCGCACAGCCCCACCCTCCCCAGTCCAGAGCATTACCCTAGAGTCCCCAGCAGCAGCCCATGAGCTGGGCTCAAGCAGGGGGCAGAGTGCGGGCAGGGCGGTACCTGGCAGCCTTCCTCTGCCTCTTATTCCCACTGGCCATGCCATTCATCTATGCATCCCCAGCCATCTCTCACTCCCCATTCCGTTGGGTGTGTCCACACTACAAAGTTAATTCAAACTAACAGCTGTTAGTTCAAATTAACTTTCATAGGGGCTACACATGCAAACTGCTAGTTCAAATTTAATTCGAACTAGGTAAACCCCATTCTACGAGGACTAAGGCCTAGTTTGAATTAAGGGCTGGGTAGTCACTTAATTCGAACTAGCTGGAGGCTAGTCCTCCCCAGCTTGCCCTGGTGGCCACTCTGGGCCAAACCAGGGAAACTTGTCTGCCCCCCTCCCAGCCCTGGAGCCCTTAAAGGGGCACGGTCTGGCTACACTGCTTGTGCCAGTTGCAAGTCTGCCAGCATCCAGCCAGCAGACCCTGCACCTGGCCACGGGAAGGTGGCTGTCTACAGCTGAATGGCTGCCAGCCTGGCCACCAGAGGCCACATGCGGACCCAGGAGCAGGTCCGCTACAAAATTAAGGACCTGAGGCAGGCCTACTCCAGGGCCTCCCAACCAGGGGCCGACCCAGAGGCCTGCCCTCACTTTGAGGCCCTGGACCGCATCCTGGGGACTCACGCAGTCCATGCCTCTCGGGGGGTGGTCGACCCCAGGGCAGAAACAGAGGAAGAGGAGGATGTCGAGAGCCAGGAGTCTGCAAGGAGCCTGCCCAGGACCCAGGACCCCCGAGTCATCCCACAGAGCACATCTGCTGTGTCGTCTGAGGCCGGGGAGGGCTCCACACGTGAGTACCATCATGCTCCCATTATGTGTATGGGGGGGATGGAGAGGGAGCCCACCCGGGACCGTGCGCCTGGGCCTTGCCCATCACGGAGCAGCAGCTGGGGATCCTGCAGGGGCCCTGGCCTTGCAGAGGGGAGCTGGGTTTCACACACCTGGGCCCCTGGGGTAATTGACCGCTGGTCTTCTTGCACC